AGAAATAAAAAAGTCAGGAAATATGGTATGTGTAACACAATCACATGGTACTTCTGGTTATGATTATATAGTATATGATATGCACATGGTACTAATTGGTGCCTTAACATATTGTACCAATTCAACTAATTTATCTTTTAAATGTAAAAGTATTATTTTGAGGAATATAACAGAACGTAGATTTCATATTTAGTATACAAGTCTAGCAGTTGCTTTTAACAAACATTAACACATAGATACATATAATTTTCCCTTAAAATTTACTTTTTTTTTTTTTTTTTTTTTTTTAAGAATGAACAAAAAGCTGTTTAGAATCCAGACTTTTAATCTGGTTAAGGCTAAATTAAGAATTACTGAGTTTTCTGCCCTTTCTTGATTTTTTTCTGGTAAGACACAAATGCTCTCTGAATTTAAGTGGATACATTGGATTTAACATAAAATGTGTTAGTACAATCAAGCATATTTTGAGTTTCCTGTATTATATACCCCTACTCCTATTGTCATAACTGTTGTAATCTGTCTGAGATGAACATATTTTTATTGAAGTAAAATATAAAAAAAATATGGAAATTTCCTAGCATTTCTTTATGTTAAATTCCACACTAATATTAGGTTTTACTACATACTACCATTTAATATGAAAAATGATTTTCATCTAGATCGAAATATTTTTCCAATTTTCATTCTTGGAAATTCTGATAATTTCGAATCCTTACATTTAACATTCTTACTTTTAGTAGTTTTGTATAATTTTTGCTAAATGAATTTTAAATTTGGTGAAGTAAAGACAGTTGGCATTTTCATTGTGATGATATTTGCATATTATCGCAACCACATCGACGCAGCTTGCTGAATTGTATGGAAGAAAGAAAATAATTACTTTTAATGTGAAAAATTATGTATTAGATATACAACTACATATAAACAATATCACAAGAACTAGCAAGTCTGCCCTAGGAACAGAATTTTAAAAATTTTAAATCCTGTTCTACAGGACATCCCAGCTGGCTATTTGTAACAAACAAGAGGAAGCTGGTTTCTCCTTGAAAAAAAATCCAAATCAAATGCCATGAAACAACACATTCATGTTGAGAAGATATAACAGACTGTTAAAACAGCCATAGTTTTGAATATCTCATAAGCAAAATGAAACAATGAAGAAAGCAGTATGATTTAAGTATTGCTGAAATATCTATAGCAGGCTGGAAGAAGAATTGTACTGAAATGAAAACGCAGGTATTGTAGAGATCTTTGATAGCAACCAACAGAAAAACTTAAAAACAAAAAAAAAAAAAAAAAAAAAAAGGACACATTCTGCATGGGCATTTTTCTCTTCTCTATCTAATTATAATGGTTAAAAAAAGGACACAGATGCTCATGTTTGTACTTAATATAGGAAGATACATTGTTACTATAATTCCAGATATTATTGCCTAATCTTTTAATTATAAATGGCATTCTCTTTACCCATATAAATAGCAAATAGACAGCATGACTTGACACAAAATTTCAAACAGAACAGACACACACACACACACACACAACAAAAAAAAAAAAAAAAAAAAAAAACTAGGGAAGGTTTACAACAGTCAATTAATATGTGAAATTAAAAAATTCTGAAACTTTGTAAAAGAAAAAAAAATCAGCACTTAATAAAATATGCGGTATAGATTTCACGAAATAGTGGTAAACTTATTAAAAAAGTAACTCTTTACAGGGAGAGAAAAGATTAAAAATTAGGATCGGTTATTTCATAAAAAAATTAGAAAAATTCGAAACAAGACACACACAGCAGAAAAAATGTAAAGTCAATAAAATAACAATTAAACAAATTACACAATCGCAACAATACAGATAGTAAAGAAACAAAACTAAATATTTCACAAAAAGGAAAAATTCGAATGATGCAACAAATTTTCAGATGGTAACTTGAATTTAACCTAAACATATAACGGAAAATTAATACAACGAAATCAATAAATAACCATTAAATTAAAAATCAATTAATCAAACGGCTACAACAGAGAAACGATTAAAATTGAACAAAAATTTAAAGAATATAAACCAATATCTCATTAAAGCAATGAACAATTTCAATCAAGGAAATAACAATGCAACAGATAATCAGACAGACAGACAGACAAAGTAGACAGATGTCTTTTGTTGCACCCGCTAAAGTCTTTTTGCACCGATGGGCGAAAAATCAAGCATAGGTGCGAAAGAAAGGTATATAGAAAGGGGGGCAATTTCGTATTTCAGAGGAGAGTAAAAAGGAACTTCGTATATTTTATACGAGTTCGAAAGGCCAGGAAGAAAAGATGGGACAAAATAAAGTAAAAAATAAATGGCCCAAAAGTAATGGAGAGTGAAAAAAAAAATTATTTATAATTAAAAAAAAAGGGCCTATAGAAAGAAAAGGAAAGGAATAAGAGAATTTTGTTAAAAAAAAAAAAAAAAAAAAACGATTGTGTTCATGAGTGTAGTCAAAGTTGTTATCATTTACATTAAATACAGTCTTCCAGGTGTGTGTAATGAGTGTGTTTTGTAAAGCTGAATAGATGTAAAGATGGGGGAAAATTAATAATAAAATATATAATTTTTTGGGGTCCAGTCACATAACAGTATAAGTCAGGTTTAGAAGCTAACTTTTGCTATAACAGGGAAACTAAAATTTAAAAATTTTTTAAATTTAAACTTTGATTTTTTAACATGGGAAACCAATATTAGCCTCTACCTTGAGACACAGTAACAGAAGACACATAAGATCAAGATACATATAATATCATGCAAAAGTTATACATTAAACTAAGTAACATCATCTATTGCGGTTTCCAACATATTTATATATTCAGAAAACACCATCAGATAAAATCATAAATCCAAAACAAGCATATCAGCAAAAATAAATAAGTAAATAAATTACGGAGTTTTTTTATTTTAATATTAATTAATTTTTTTAAAAAAATAAGCATTTTATTTATTTATTAAGTTAATGGTCATAATTTATTATATGTGTACTATTTTATCAATTTGAGGCACACTGTATTAATATATGCTTTTAATTTAAATAGATAGGAAATATAGATTAAAGGAGCAAAAACTACAACTCTATACATTCATTGAGGCCCGAGATCGTGTTTTTAGCTCTCGAGAAATTCCTCAAAGGGGCCCCAATGGGTAGGGCTAACACTACTGATAAGGGCTACTGATAAGGATAGCGTCCCTACGAGATAGTAGCCAAAAAAGAACCACATGATTTAAAGCAATTACTAAGTATTTAATGCCAAAACATAATAAAATGAGCATAATAATAATAATGATCATAATAAATGAATGAATTTAAAGGTACTTTAGTGACAGATATTTGATTTAGCTTAGAGAAAAGAAGTTCTACTTATCTGAACGCTCCGTCTTAGTGCTGCAAAAGATTGCAAGGAAGACAAGACCCCCCCCCCCCCAGGTACAGGAGAACTCCCGGCTTTGAGAACGAGACAATGCAGAGGATATTCGCGAAAATTTTCTGAAATAAATGAAGATTTTCCGGAAAACACCTTTGAAAATTCAGGAGCTCTTCCAAGATCCTGCCTCCATCGTACGTGATCACAGCGCCCTCCGCAACAGATAATCATGTCAATAAGATTATTAAATCTATCGATATAATTCTACGATCATGTCATTATAACTGTTATACTATATCTGTGTAAAAAATATAATCAGTATAATTCAAAAGATCAATCAACATCTAAACAATTAAAAAAAAACCACGTATGTATTCGGACGGAAACTCACAGCCAGAGAGATTCTTTGTCACAGCGACGCCTAACCAAAGAATCTCCTTATCCTTATCCTTATCCTAAGCCTATTTGATTGGTATTTGGCCCTAAGAAGGGCCTTTACCAGTACATAGTTATCTTACCCTGATAAGGGCATCCTATTAAAAATCTTATCCATCTAAAGATGGTAATCCTGGTAATAGCATAAGTGGCGCCATCCTTTGGCGGAAAAGAATCTCTAAGGAATATATATATATATGCCCTTGGTCCTTACAGATTCTTTGGCCAAACTTGGCTGAATAAGCAAGTTGCCATATACATTTCCTTTATCCATTTTGCGCATAATTGTAGATTTGTAGATAAAAAGTAATAACACCATTTTACGTTAGCATTACGGTTTCACTTTAGCGTGTTTCTCCTCTGTTTTGATATCTGTATAAAGAGTTTATACAATGCTACCGCGCTATTTCACTTTATAAAATTTAAGAAAACGCAGCCTTCTTTTGCATGTAAAATTTTGCTGTTACTTTATGCTTTTGTTTGTTTTACTTCCTATTTGTTTCGGGAATGCGGGTTATTTTAAGACAATTAAGAATGAAGCCTCAAGGAAGCAATGAAAATACAAATAACGCCTTGAGCTTCATCTACTTTTATTCATTTCTTTCTTTGTTTTATTTTATTTGTTCTCCTGTCATTTATGTAGTTAACGTATTTCTGTAATCATGGGATACTGCTCTGCTTTTGAGAAACTTCTGAAACCGCCGTTTTAAGAATATCTTTAAGCACCTTATTACTATAATGAATCTCTCTCTTTAGTTTTGTTGTGATAACTGATCTCTGGACAATCTTTCTCTGTCTCTCTCTCTCTATTTATTGTTGTCATATATTCCTACCATTGAAATAAAACCCATCCGCTTTTAAGAGAGATCATACAATATAAAGTTACTAAGGGTTTTTGTGTGTGTGTGTGTGTGTGTGTGTGTTGCTAATGAAGCTGTTTCTTTTGTTTAATAAAATGCAAACACCGAAGCATTTCTCAAACTGGGCATTAAGTGGTTTTTTTTTTTTTTTTTTTAACCTTCTCGTAAATTTTTAAATAAAATAAATATATATACATGAATAAATAAATCCAAAAATAATGCGAATTCACGAAGCAATTAGCCAAAATTATAAATTTGAATGTATCGTACAATTAATCCCATCGATCATTATAAAAGTTTTATTTATTGGCAATAATATTAACTGTTTGCGTCTGCTCGGTGATTCATGTGATCGGTACTCGCACTGAATTTAAATAAGTTATTTTGGCTACAAAAGGTATATCTTTTCTTCTAATTTATTTTGTACAATTTTAATATGTGTAATAATAATAAGCTTGCTTATTTGTTACAAATGTTTTTAGTTTTCTTGTAAAAATAAACGGTTTCTCTTTAAAAAATGTGTTTTATGCAGTTTGCTTATACAACGTATCTAGTGTTGCATTTCATGAAGCTGTATTACCGCACACATTAAGCTTTATCATTTCAGATATTTTTATTTCTTCTTTTAACATAATTTTTAGATGTCCGGAAAAGTTGTTTTGGTGACAGGAGGCACTGGGCTGGTAGGCAAAGCAATTGAAGAAGCTATTAACAACAGCAAGCCAGATGGTGAAACCTGGATTTTCGCGTCTTCCAAAGATGCTGATCTGACGTAAGCTGATGAGTTTATTAGTGTTTAATGTTAATTTAATTTCTTATAAAAATTTTCCGATAAAGTACTTATTTCTTCCATTTATTTTCTTTCTTATTTCTTAGCCAATTCTCACCTGCGTCAAACATTTTATAAATTTATATAAATTTGATCTGAATTAAATTTAATGATGACTTGCAGTATTCACCTTATGTCATTAAGAAGTCCTGTATATTTTTTAAATTAAATGTTTAGAATTCCAGAAATAATGGATAATTTTTTAGTTAGAAGCACATGAAAGAGAAAGAATGTGAAACTGGTCAGTTCATTTGCAGCTGCATTATGAGTTAACTGGGAAAATTTTTCATATAACGTATTGTGATTTATAATAGATAACAAAAATGAATTTTTAAAAATGTTCTAAATTTAAACTTTTTTTATCTAGATTGTTATTTCTGAATATAAAAAAAAAAGTAAATTAAATAATAAATACTGTAATTTAATCTTTAAGAAAGATCTCTTGCAGGTTTATTTTGTTCAAATATATGCCTTTGTAAAAATGTTGCGGTGGTTTAACCCGCGAGCGCACTCTGGGTTCAGTGGATACACCCAATTAAAGAAACCTTTCTAAAAATGCCCCTATTATTCCCAAGTAGTTGTTGTTCAGTGTAGTCTCCTCCAAGGCCATCCTCTTTATGTTTCTGAAATTTTTCGCTGGAACTTTGATCGGATCGGGGCTGCGAGACCCGCGCACCTATTCACGTTGCGGGATAGAGTAGACTTTAAGGTACCCCATGTATTATGGCGAAGTTGTTGTTTGATTTATTGCCAAGTTGTTGTTTCATTTATGGTAGCCTGAATAGTTTAATGTTATGGAAACCCTATTGTGATGTAATAGGGTGCATGATTCTGGGAAATTTTGAATCATGGGATGTTTTGTAAGCTTTTTCGTGGTGTCTGTTGGTTTGATTCTTTACATGGTAGAATGTCCGAATGTAGTAAGATTAATTTGAAGTTTGTGTACAATTTGGAGCGAAAGGGGAAAACAGCTTTAATTGATTGGTGTGTAAATGAAGGTTTACTTAGTAGCCATTATAAGTGTCCTGTATGTAGGAAGGATATGCCTCTAGTCGAACGTAAAAACCGTTTAGATGGATTTGAATGGGTTTGTAGGAAGAAAGGTTCAGATGGTCCCTATGTGAAGTGTTCGATCAGAAAGAGTACCTGGTTTGAAAAAAGTCATTTGAATATGATTGATATTTATTTTGAATTTTGCATGGGTCTGGGTGTACGAAGCGAACTCGAAAATCATGGTAAGTGAATATTTGCTTTTGGTAGTGCTTAAATGTATAACATGTTTTTCCTTTTTTATGTTTTTTTATTGTTTGGTTTAAAATGTATTTTATAGAGATTATGTATTTTTTGTTTGCCTATATTGTAGAATTTGGTGCTCCTTTGACTTTTTAAGTGAAAATATATCGATGTGTACATGGACAAAGTAAATGTGCAAAAACATTCGATTTGGCGATTTTTTTTTTCAAAACACGCCAAACTGGACCGTAATATGCAGTTTTACCATTTTTATTACTTGTGTGTTTTGCTGAAAGAAAATAATAAGTTTAAAATAAATATTTTCAGATATTTTTTTAAAAATTACTCTTGCTAATTATGTACAGGATTGGGAAGCAGGCTTCTTTTCTTCTGTAGGTACGATATCTTTTCTCTTTATGTGAATTTTTCAGTAAAGTACCTATTTTGTAAAAACAGAATTGGATGTACTCATGTAGAATTTTAGTTCCCCCCCCCCATTTCTTTCTTTTTTTTATAAGGCATCTTAAGCTCTTACATAGCAAGTGATTTTTTTTTTTTTTTTTTTCAATTAATGCACAAAATTTCTTCTGCTTCATAGCAAACTTATTCTCCATTAATGAGTTAAAAAATAAAAACACTTTCTCAAAAATAAAAAATTTATTGTTTTAATGTATGATATCTTTCAAATGATCTTCCTTGTGTAAGGGTACATTGCAGAATTTACATATATGCCACATTATACTGTGGTATATACAATAGCATATATGCTCTTGATGGAGCATATATGCCATTGTCGCAAAGCATCTTTTTTTCCCTAGTTTCCACAATGGGTTCTAATGTATGTTTCCTCATATTAACAGAAAGTCCCCTGAAGAATCATAATTTGTTGCTTTTTTCCTAATGCCAGATGCTGATAGTGTATATAATGTTGATGGATGCCTTCAGGAGACTGGTACATTACACAGGACACAGTACACAGGACACAGAACATTTTCTGTATCTTTCATGTTCACCTTTTCCATGGTGCTTTCGGTGATAAAATTCGATATTTTAGTGTAGTATATACTCAATGTACACAGTACACAGAACATTTTCTATATCTATTCCTGAATGGCTTAAACATTCTTCCAAGACTGATGGATTGTCTACTGATGATCATTCTTCTTCAGTATTGGAATGATCCGAATCTGAACTTGAAATTTTTAGTCGGAAAACAAAAATCCTGGGGCATCGTAGACTTTCATTGTCACTTTCATTGTAAGCTTGTTCTCGTCGGTATAATTTGAGAAACTATTTGCACACTTTTCTTCATTATCACATTCTATTCTGTCATGTTCCATTTTTAAGAATTTATTGTAAAAAAGTCAAGTTATTTTAAAACATTGTTTTGCCACCATGAAACCCACTGATAGTTAATAGAAAATCATTTTTATCGGTTCATATGCAGTAATGACAATCCCCACAAAATGAGTCTAGTTGTTTCTCATGCTTTAATAACAATCTGCACAAAATGAGTTTAGTAAGAAAAATCTTTTCTTACTCAAGAAAAACAAAGGTTTGGTTCTTAGAACTTAATCATCACATTAGTGAAATATATTAAGCATAGATAAAAAAATATGAGAATCATGATTGTAATGAGTGCGAGTCATGTGTCAGTGTTAAGAAAATGTTTAAAAAAACTCGGTCTTATCAAAATTCTTTAAAAAATTATTCTCCGACAACCATCTCTTCCTTAAAAAGAGGAGGGGGATGCTTATAATTTATTTTAAAGCATAAGTTTAATGTCATTATTTCAACTAATCATAAGCTATTTCTAATCGTTTTTGTTAAAACCGTGTAATATTTTTACAGTAAAATTTAAGATTTTCTAATTTCGAAAAGCTCATTTCATTTGCCAGAAATGTCTTCAGACAAGTATTTTTAAGAAATAATCATTGCACTAATCAAAATGATTTATTTTAATGTTTTATTTAATGAAACTCTTTTTTTTTTTTTTTAATGAAAGTAAAAATAATTATTTACATTTTCTCGTCTTCATCCTCAATCGCTAAAATGTTTTTAACTTACTTTTCATTACATGCACATGTGCATATTATAGCTGTGGATGTTTAATCAGTTTATATCTTTCTAGAATAAGTAACATTATTAAATTGTTTTATAACTTAAAAAATATATATTAGCATTTTTTTCAAAAGTTAAATGAAAATACATTGTGAGAGTTTCAAGAGTTAAATTGAAATACATCGTGACCTTTGATGAAGCAAGGGCTTACCTAAGTGATTGCAACAAGAAAGGTCTACTTAGGATCGAAAACAAAGAGAAAAAAATGTGCAGACCTGATTCTACTGGTGCAAAGAAGGTTTCAGTAAAAGAATTTGATTGTTGCAGAATTCTCTTACAATAGGAAATCAAAAATAAGAAGGGGGAGTCAACTCAAAGTACTGTTGAGAGAACTGTCAAGAGAATGTTTTAAGTGCCATATTTAGAGAAGAAATTCCATTTCTTTACATCTTTTGACTTTGAATGAGTGAAATTTCATCAAAACAAAGCGACAAGTTATACTTCAGAAAATTCCTTGAAAAAAATAAGGAATTGTACTGGTACTGCATATAAACCTTTTCAACATATTCCTGCAAAGTCCCTTGATGTTCCATCTATGAAATATTGTGCCTTTGGTCTCTTGAAAAGAGCCTTTCTAATTGTAAATTCTTTCAGTTAATGGGCTCTGGGAAGTAGTGGAAGAGGAATGAAAATTGAATGAACTACCAAAAATTTTACAAAAAAACCTTTCTATCATAGAAATCCCAGTGCAGACTTATAATTCAGAAAAAAAGGTTATCGGATGAACATTTAAAAAAAATACTCTTTACATTTTAAACATTAATTGAATGCCCCTGCAATCATTCTAAAAATGTGTAAGCATCCTCTGTATATATGCTACAACAGTCAACCCTCACGTGTATGTGTGATTATGTTAAATGAGTTACACATTTTCCATATTTTTTCATATAAAGTGTTGCCACTTTTTTTGTAGCAAATTATGTTGCAACTGGGAAATTTATGAACTGATGGGAAGATAAGGTTTTAGATTTATTCAGAAAATATGAACAATGCAATACCTATGAGCCATAATGACAGACTGATATTTTTTGCCAATTCACCGTGTCATCAATTGGTTGGTGAATTTTCATGGCCAAGTGGAATCAGAAAGAACTAGTTTTCGTTAATGTAAAATTAAGCCCAAAACAAATTAGCTAATATTGCATATAAGTAATTGAATTTCTATTATGAGTACATTTCAGTTATATGAATATTATGTTTAAACTTTTCCATATTCAAATACAGTTTTTACTGTTATTTTCAGAGATATAAATCAAACAGATTTACTGTTTCAGAAACATAAGCCAACACATGTCATTCACTTAGCTGCTATGGTTGGTGGTTTGTTTAGAAATCTGAAATATAATTTAGACTTTTTGGTAAGTCATTATTTTTTCATTTTTACAAATTATACCAATTTTAATTATAAAGCAATTATGTTGTCCATTTTGAATATCGTATCAAACCAAATATAAAATATTTTACTCCTTGGCATGGCTTTTTGAATATCGAAATCTTAAGATTGCATTTCAAGCTCTTATGGTGGACTACACAAAGAGAAGAAATTTATGTGTGTTGTCCACCACAGGTCACAGTGTTTGAGCTGTTACGAGGTGCAAGATGACAGGGTCTGATATTGCAGAAGCAAAAATTCATTCAGTTATGGCTCCACTTGACATTTCATGAATCCTAACTTTACAGCCAGTGTCAAGGGATTTTAGCAATCTGCACTATGTCTGTCACCAAAGCCTCTTGGTTTCAGGAAGGGTGACAAAGAGCCATGTTCCTGTTTCTTATCTGATAACATTTGAACTGTAACAAATCAGAGCATGTAAAATAGAACTGAAACATTAAGAGGGTGTGATTAATTCAGTCTGCAAACTGTTTTAGACAACGCAAAAACTCGAAATGCTCTTAAACTCTTGACTAAAGAGAACTCTTGCTGCTCGCAAAATCCTTGCATAATGAAAATAATAATTTACAATTTTTGTCTTACCTATGCTTTCAATATTAATTGTTAATTATTGTATTAATAATAGAGCTTCTCATATATTTTTAATAAATTTGGTTCTAGTTCTGTATGCAGTGAGTAACATCCAAACTAAACAAATTGCAAACCAGTCAGTTATCAATCCTGACATGGAGTCACCATATCAGTGCAGCATACCATCATCACCCCACTTTAAAAAATATATTAAGCTAATTTATCTCTATTTATGTCTACTTTACAAGAAAACTATTTTTTGAGTTTACGCCAAAGTCTTTTTAATTATATTCCTTGTAGAACATCAATACATCAATTTTAAAAGTGCAGGGTTTTTCATAAAAACATTATTAAATTTCAGAATGTGAGTCTTGAATGGATTCCAGTATAATTTTTCATCAATTTAAAGAGCTGCTAATGTTATATTCCAAAATATAATACTGCACATTTTTAAGTTAGCTAAGTTAAATTAGTTAAGTTTTTTAAGTTGTTTTGAAAGCATGTAAATAAATATAGATTCTTTTTGACTACTTGAACCTCCTGAAAAATATTAATTAGGTTACATGCTGTGTCACCAAAATAGGCAACCCAGGTGTGGTACCTTAGTTATTAATGTTTGTTTATATTGCATTGATGAGTCATTACTGTTTTCATTGCATTGAAGGCATATTTTTTTTCCTTGTAAGGAATTGTAATGGAACTGTGGAGTTTGTCAACTGATAAAAAAACAAAGCATTGCATTTCTTCAGAAATATGGCATTTTGCCCAAGAGTAGAGAATGCAAAATTTTACTTTTCATAAAGTTATGCTTCATAAAATTGAACTTTGTAGATCAAAATTTGTGCATCATTATTAAATTGGTGCAATTCATTGATGTTTTTTTTAAGTGAACACAGATCAGTGGGTACATTGAGAAAAATGAAAGTGTGCACAGTGCCAAGTTGTGCTTGATAAGAAGTTTCTGCGATTCTCTCATGTTTTTTGAAGCTTGAACAGATTGCTGTGTAGGAAGAACACTGCAAAAATAAATAACCAAAATAATAAGTTTTATTATGCATTTTTATTTTATTAATTGGGGCTGCTTATTTAATTCTTAGTGCATCATCATTTTTGAAAAAAAGCTACTGTCTTTCATATCTTAGCTCTTTGAAAAATAGTTGCCGATGGTTGGCAACATTTTGGAAGGGAAGTGCAGATTATCAGAAAATACCTAAATATATGCAAAAAATATGGACACTTTATATAAATATGTATATTTCAGTTTTATGCTTTGAAATAATAAAAGTTCTAAGCATACAAAGTAATACAGTGGTAATTTAAGATATTTTTCTGTTGAGGATTTAGTGCAAAAACTACTGTGTGCTACCAGTAAAAGAGAAATCTATAAACATAATTTGTGTAGTCAAGAGTTATTGTAAAAGTATTTATGTGATATAAAGTTTATTTTTGGCATTATGTTTCTTAGTCGTATATTTCTAAACCTGCAGTTCTCAATTTTTTTTCATTTGGATTGAATGTCTGTGATCTTGCAGATGGCTATGATTATGCTCAAAACATCTGTGGCAAGCAATATTGAGATTTAAAAGAAAGTCTAAAACCTTAGTAATAGAGAATTTATATTGTGGAATTTCTGATTCTCTAGAAAAAAGATCTTAGAAACTTGAAATTTTTAAAAGGGACCCTTTTTTTTTAAATTTCAAGTTTTTCCCCAAAAAATTGTCTAATTTTCCAAATTTGAAAGACCCACTCTCCTGAAATTATATCCATTTATTTAATTATTCTTTGCTGTAGGAACAGTACAATCAATTTCAGTGCTCGTAATCTGCATAGTTGAACTGGAGAATAATTTGATTATTTAAAAAGAATTATTTGAAGAAATGGAAATGGAGTATGAGATAAAGACTGTTATATTCAGTATTTTTATGAGAAAAGTTTTGCCCAAGATTTTTGGAATAAAATAAAATAACTAGAATATCATTGCAAAGTATAACCAAAAGCTCTCTTACCTACCTGCTATCAGTTAGGACTGCGAAGATGAAACAGTCATGAGACAGAAAAACATTTTAGAGATCTACCTATTTTCAATTATATATTTGACTTGAGTTATTCTGGGGTTTTAATATGATAATGTGATTTTGTTTTATGTTGGAAGTAATACTAGGACCAAGAGTTCCCATGACAAAAATAGTAATAATTTGCCTATAAATATTTGTTTCTTTATTGCAACCATTTCCTGAGTCTTCAACAAGAATAACTAGGAGCACTAGAATAACAAGTTATTTTCTCAGTTCTTGGTAAAGCAACATATAAGCATTATCTTGTTCAATAAGACTTCAAAACTATTCCGAAGGTTAGCCTGGCTCCTGCATTTTTGATATCATAGATAATTAGTACTGTTGATATCCCACATAAATTAAATATATTAATAATTTGAAGTAAATTATGTATTTATTTAGTTGTCACTTGCAAGAGCAACTTATATTGTGCTTCCCAAAAATCTTGGTGCCTTTATTGAGATTTTCTTTTGCCTATGTTTCTAGCTGGCTCTTGCAGGTGATAGCTAAAATAGTATCCAGGAGAAATAAAAGAACAAACCAGCCATAACCAATACCCAAATCTTTCCCAAAGTTTACACTCACAAGTAACATACTTTTAAAGTTTCAGATAACTCAAAAGTGCCTGAAGTTTTGTTATAAGTGTGTGTGACATTAATTGCATTATATATTACAGTCGATTCCGGTTAATCGGACCACATCGGGTAGTGATTGTTTTGGTCTTAATAACCAACTGGTCTGATATCATGAACATGTCTTATGTTGTAAGATGGGACATGCTATATGTACATGTAAATCATGAACTAAAATGTAATTATGGCCTTTATTGTGCGGTTCACACATATGGCTAATACACATGTACTAACAAGAAATACAGTCTAACTTTTTTCATTGATTCATTGTCAGACAGATGGGAATTCCTTTCAAGTGGAGCCGAACACTCTATTGTTCATTTCCTCGAAACTCGGAGGCACAGGTCAAAGAAAATGCTGCACGTATTCACATCCCACCGGTATCGCTTTTGTCATGCACTTTAGGAATATCTGACCTTTGATAAAGCATTTTCCTGGGGAGCCGCAAATACAGATCCTCCCATATGTCGCAGACCACCTGTACATCCGCTGTACGCGGCCGACTTGTGGCTTCTGTTTCTTATTTGCTCTCTGGTCCAAATAAGCGAATAAAATTAGGCTTATGTACATAGGATTTGTTTCGGTTCTTTAAGATTTGGTCCAAAAAAGTGGCTGGTCCGATTATCCGGTGGTCAATTAACCGGATTCGACTGTATATTATTTTGCGACAGACCACACAAGATAAGAAATTCATCTGTGCTGTCATCTCACAAGCTGCAATCTTGGAGCTGTTAAAAAGTGTGAGACAACACATTCTGAGATTGCATAAGCAATAACTAGTTAAATAATGCCTACACTTGACATTATAAAAGCCATAAAATTAGCAAGCCCACCAGTGGCCGAGTGGTAAAATCACTGAACGCTGGTAGTTCTGACCTGCATTCGAATCCAGGGGAACAGGCCAGCTGCATAGGCGTTTTCATGGTTTTCCCCATGTGTAATGTGTATATGAGCCAATTTTCCTTGGAAAGTCCTCCACAAGGCATCCCTACCCTCAGGCAGATAGCCCTAGTGTGCTGTAGTAAACTAAACCAAACCAATCATAAAATTAGCAATGCAACAACCTTGTGTTTGGCATAGATTTAGTCAGGAACTTGATCAATTTTAAGAGCAAACAGATGCAGGTCCCTGTTCTCAGGAGCAAAAAAATCTGCAAGACTAGAAAGCAACTTTCTTAGTTCCACTTTATGCCAAGATTATCGTGCTTATTTTGCATATCGTGTTGCGGCTCTTTCTATCAGGTAGTGTCATTTGGAGGCATGATAATATTTTTGGAAGTGATCCTGCAGCCAGGTGTTGAATGGAAGTTTGAAGAAGGGGTATGATCTAGGCATCTGAATCGTCATAAGAATAATAGTTGCAGGAAGTACAAAGTCATGCGAGATGCTGCAGTTTGGGTCACAGGTTCAGATAATCTTGATATACTAAATACATTTAGTCCGCAATTAAAGAACAAAACAATCAAATAAAGTAAAGCAACTATTTACAATATGTATAAGGACTGTGTGCAGTTTATAAGTACAGTCAAAAGTCTTTAATCTGGACTCGTCGGGACTTCGGCGATTCCGAATTATCGGTTTTTCCGAATTATACATCATCAATTTAAGTCTGGTAAGATGGCATGCAGAAATTATAAAATTAAAAATATGAAACCGTAATTTATGAAATAAAGAGCAATTATGATCTAAAGGGTATCAAAATTTACAAAAAAAAAAACCTTAATATTTATTTGTTTACTTTATTAAACATTTCTTTCAACCCGCGCATGCGTAAAGCATACATTACGGATAATCCAAATTAGAAAATTTCAACCAGAAAACTATTTGATGGGTATTTGTGATATTTATAATAACGAGGAATTTGATTTAAATCATATCAAAGAGTACATCGAGATGAAATACTACATTTAGTAAGGAATTATAAGCTGAATAAAACAAAAACCTCTCTGCCCTGAAGATAAGGATAGTGCTGACAGATCAACTTCCAGTTCATTGCGTGCTGTGATGTCCCCCCCCCCCCGTAGAGCAGCGTGAAATTGATAAACAGATTTCGGAATGGTTAGAGAAAAAGGCTTTGCCGTTATCCATTTTTTGCAGCAATTCCACTTTTTGTTTGATGGACATCGAAACATGCTTCGCTTTGTAGATCCTTTGGCGACTCCAGAATCGGAAATTCTTTTTGGCATAATCGAAAGTTCAAGCTTACTTTATAAAATTGCTCTAACAGTCTGCAAAAAATAATAAGCCGGATCCAATTCGAAGATTAAGGAACAACGCAATCTGCAACATTAACTGAAATAGATAATTTGATAATTTGAGCCTAGCTTATACGGACCATTATACATTAAATGCGCATGTATAAAGGCATTATGCTCATGCGTTAATGCTACGCATGTGCAGAAAGTTTGTAGCTTTGAGGTCCGGATGATAGATTATTCTGGATTATGGACGTCCAGATTAAACACTTTTGACTGTATTGGTAAAGATTTTTCTCTTATCACTAAAATGGGTTTATGTAGGGAAATTTTGCTCCAGCATGCAAGTTGCGTAGAGTCTTAGGTAACGGTCTTCACTGAGTAGTTCCTAATGAAAAGTTCTTAAGTGCTTCAGGGGGACATGGTCCTCAGATTTTTTTAAGAACTGGTCATTAGTTTTCCGTAGATAATTTGCAAGAAATTCAACATCGTGGAGCCTTTGATTCATTGTATAAAAATGTGTGTTCATCATTATTTTGTGAAATTTGGATTGCACAACTTGAATTTCTTGCAGCTTATTCTTAGCTGCAGTCTTCTTCAAGGAAGAGGCATATGTCAGTATGGGCTAAATGGTGGAAATATAAACCTCTTTTTGCCTGAGTCCAATCGAGAAGAAGCTTTCCAGATAATTTTTGCAGAACCCAAATCAAAATTATGATTAAATTTCTAACTATGATTGGCTATTGAAGATTTTTTTTAGATATAACATTAGTGTTTCTTGATATGAAACCTTAATGCTCATTTACTTTGGCTGATATATCTGAAACCACACTGACATGATATGCTGTTAATTCCCCTAGAATTGAAAGTCAGAAATGGAATCTTTAAGAATTGCCATCGATTTATAATAAAAGGGCTAACTAATGCTTCTTGCTAAAGGTGCTTGTAATAAAAAATGCTTACATAAAATAGCTTATGATAAAATGCTTCCCATAGATTTATAATAAAAACGTTTTAGTTCAATGTGTAGTTAATATAGTACAAAGTCTGTAATCCGGGCTTGTTGGGACTTCAGCGATTTTGGATTAGGGGTTTTTCCGGATTATAGATCATCAATTTAAATCTGGTAAGATGGCATGCAGAAATTATACAATTAAAAATATGAAACCGTAATTTATGAAAGAAAGAGCAATTGTGATTTAAAGAGTATCAAGATTTACAAAAAAAAAAAAAAAAAAAAAAAAGCTTAATATTTGTTTATTTTATTTAACATTTCTATTAATGTAAGTTATTTAAGTTGCTTCATTTTTTGTGCTAATACTTTAATTCTGTAAACAGACATAATTTCTTGTTCAGTTACAAAGTTTCACTGTTCAAGTCCTGTAATTGCTGTGACTAGAATACTGACTAACTTGTCAAATCAAATTTTATTTCATTTTCAATAACCTCTTTGTCACTATCAGAAGCGGTATTTTCTGGGTCTAGAACCATACTACAGATTTCACCATCCGTTAATTGATTGACAATTGGGGCATTGTCGTCGCAATGAAAAACTTCTGTTATATCATCTTCATTTATTACCACTTCTCCACATTTCTTTACAAACTCCAATAATCGGAAAATTTCACCTTTAGTTTGTGAAGTCCGAAAACCTTCAAATTCGCGGCTATCATCTTCATCGTCCTCACTATAAAATATGGTAGCTGGCCATAAATTATGCCAAGCATTTTTTAACGCATCTGGAGACACAACCTCCCAATGTGCATGCGTAAAGCATTCAAAAAACGTTTGTGGCTTTGAGGTCCGGATTATAGATTATTCCAGATAACGGACGTCCGGATTACGGACTTTATACTGTATACAAACAAACCAAAATACAACAAACACCAATGATTACAATAGAGTCACGCCACTAGTACACCAGTGCCGTAATCCTGATTATTATACAGTTCTTTATTTTCTGTTATGCTTAATGTGGCTGCTTTGCAAAACTGAATCTCAGTTGCTAATTTATTTTCACCATTAAAATTGTATCATTGTTGGATTATTTTACTCAAAACAAGTACTGGCATGGCATTTTATATAGGATTCTAAGTTTCCTTGCTAATTTTTTATTTTGATATTGTAGAAAATGTCATCTTCTCTGCACTGTCCCCAAAATTGGGGCAAAACTGTAACTTCAACTAAAAAATATTTTGAAACCCTGTTTCTTGTGCGGCAGGGTAAGAGCAAAATGATCAACAAGCCTGCTATGAAATGCCTGGTTGATTTAAGGAAGGAAAACCCTTTCATTCTTGGGCAAATATTTATGTGGAATAACTTGGATGTAGATTACTATGTACTAACTAGAGAAATTCTGCTCATATTATAATAAAAATAACTGGTGTATGCACTTGCACCTTTTCTGAACTCTCCCTTAACTTTTTTTTACATTAGAATTACCAGTATCTTTCCTTGAGCATGTGCAACTAAAATGTAAAAATGGAAAAACAAATGCTTTTACATATTAGTAAATTTCAAGAACAGCTTATGTTTGATTTAGAATAAAATATAATAATTTAGAAAGTGCAAATTTGTTACATTATTACAAGCTTTTTTTTTTTTTTCTTTCAGCGTAAGAATATTCACATCAATGATAATGTTCTTCACTGCAGTTTTAAACATGGTGTCGAGAAAGTTGTGTCTTGTCTGTCCACTTGCATTTTTCCTGATAAAACTACATATCCTATTAATGAAACTATGGTAAGTTTTCAAATGTATTTTCCTGCATAATTCATTTAATTATTTGGTCTAATTTCATTTTCCTTTTCAGATTCATAATGGCCCACCCCATGATTCAAATTATGGGTATTCATATGCTAAACGTCTAATTGATATCCAGAATCGGGCCTATCATGATCAACATGGATGCAACTATACATCGGTAATACCCACAAATGTATTCGGCCCACATGACAACTTTAATTTAGAAGATGGACATGTTCTTCCTGGGTTAATTCATAAAACTTATGAAGCTAAAAGTAAGCACAGACAACTGTAATATATTTAAGTAAAGTGTATATAGTATAAAGTTCAAAATCCAGATATCAATTGCCTGAAATTATCTAAAGTTTGGTCTTCCAGATTACCAGCAACCGCTTTTTTTTTTTTTTTTTTTTTTTTTTTTTTTTTTTTTTTTTACTAGTAGTCATTGAATGCTGAAGAACATGGTAACCTTATATGTTGACATTACGCTTGGCAATGATTAGACTTTCACTAACTGCACTGGAAGGGTTGAGTGAATTGATGATAAAAAATTTTAAAAAATTCTTTCCATATGCAAAAAATATATTCTATGAATGATACTCATAGGTCAAAATATTACATTTATTGCTGATTGAATTCAGAATAAGTGATTCAGACAAGCCCAGAACAGGGCAGCTGAATTTAAGGAAAGCAAAATTTTTAGAGAAGCAATGAGCATCAAAATTAAGGGATGGTAAAAATTGTCAGAATTTAGAGAAGGTAAAATTTTTAGAATTTAGGGAGACACTTGGCAACAGAATTTAGAACTCGCAGAAACTGCACTAGGCTGCAAAATGTTTAGCACCGGCCCTGGGTAAGACTTAAGTATATGTGAAAATTTATTTGGGATTTGTGAGAGAAATAGGCAAAAATATAATGAGAAACTAAACTAATTCAAGCTTAACTTCCTCATTGTGCAATAGAGGCAAGATAAAATTTAGTGGAATGACATGTCTTTAATCTCCAATCTCATGGTACATAGCCAACAGTGTACAGTGGATGCTAGCCATAAATTTGAAGGTTGTCAGATATTGTACACAAAAAGCAAAGTTTTTAAATTAATTGAATTTGTGAAAACATATGGAGCAGCAGTAACAAATGAAGATGATGGAACAGAAGTTTTTTTATTGTGATAACAGTACCCCAATCATTAGCCAAGTAACTGACTGCAAAATCTATAGTATGGTTTTAAATCCATAAAATATCACTACCGATGTTGAAGAAAGTAACAGAGACTGTTGAGAACAAAGAATTTTCATTGAATATTTAGTGGGAATTCTCAACACTGCAATTACAGGGCTTGAACAATGGAACTATGTTAGTGAACGAGAAATTGTATCTGTCTGTAGAATTACAGAGAAAGTATTAGCATAAAAATAAAGCAACTTACAATGAAAGAAATGTTAACTAAAGCAAATAAATAAATATTGAGCTTTTTTGGAAAATTTTGATTCTCTTAAGAACGTTAAATGCTTCATTATTTTTTAAACCATTATTTCATACTTTTAATTTTATAATTTCTAAATGTTATCTTACTAGTTTTATACTGATGATCTAATATCTGGAAAAATCCCAAATCCGGAATCAGCAATGAGTCTAGATCTTGGACTTTGTACTGGATTAATTCTGTAATAGAAGTATGGTTTTAGATTTGTTTTAAATTTCAGAATAATAGTTTTTTAACTTTTTAAATGAGATATATTCATTTTAATTAATAATTACTATTTTCCTGAAGTTTGTATTGATGATTTTTGTCTAAGTTTTTGTCATGTGTGATTTTTATAAAAGTTTGATAGTAGAAATTGTAAAATCATAATTGGGGGGAAAAAAGTTTTGTTCCTTTTCTCTTAATTGGGTGCAACTTAAACACTAACATGAAGTGGTTAGTAGAAGCTGACTGACGCCCATGTCATTGTGTCTGAGTTCATATCCTAAACAAGGCAGGAATATTTGTGACTATGTCTTTTTGGCATGGTGACCCTTAAAATTCTGCCAAGCCAAAAGTCTTTTTGAAAGGTCTGTGGTACAACAAATTGTGTATCAGGCCTTTAGACTTGATCTCCCAAGGTGCTACATTGAAATTGGGATGGAATTTAGGCAGATAGTCATCACAAATAGTTTCATCTAAATGAAATATCATCTATTTCTATGTATGAGCTCAGGTTTTTTTTGCAATATTTTTAAATACTGAAATTTGTAGTCAGTAAATTGAAAATTATTTGCAAATGATTTCCTCAAAATATGGATTTAATAACTGAAAATGTTTATTTTGTGTGATCTTAATATTCAAATTTTTGAATATCAATTTGCCTCAGAATTTCGTAGCAATGCTGAAACGTCTGTGTCTGCTTGAGGCATGTCCGAGTGATTACCTTTATCATTAACATCCATGTCATCTCTTTTGTAGATGAAATATCTTTAATTTCATCCATAGCATTGTACAATAAAAGAATTTTTCAGTCTAATAGAAGATAGATCCCTTTTTTGTCCAGACATTTTTAGCTGTGCAGAAGAAGTAAAGGTATTGATTATACTAACATGCATTTCATGGGGAAGAAAAGTGCAACTGAAGAGAAAATAAAGACCTTGTTGTAACCATTCTCAAGCAATTACAACTGAGAACCAAAGTAAAATTTACCATGGCATTCCAAAGTGTCATAAGATATACTTGTCCAAAAGATGAGAGAACTGAAAACGATTTATGTCAAAAGTGCTCTGTTATTTTACATTATTATCATTATTATTCTTGTAGAAACTGAAGGTTGAATCAGCTTATCTGATGGGCTAGCGAAGCTTGAAAACCAATGGATTTAAAATTCAGCTTATACATAGATGTTGAGTTTTGGTAAACTTTTGCAGCAAAATCATGTTTTGGCTTATTTACAGATTGGGCTTACACTCAGAAATAAATCTTAAAATCAGAAAAACAATTATTGCTTAGGAAATTCTCTGTGAAAGCATCCATGCAGATAGCTTTTATGGGTGATTCCTGAAAAATGCTTGAAAACTTTCATGGAAAATTTTGTAGAGATTTCTTTATTCTAACTTCTTTCAAGAGCTAGCTGTTATTAATTAAACCACTACTTTAGCAAAAGCAGTTTTTAAATATCATTCTCAATCTGCATTGAGCATATATTTTATAAAATGAGTGGATCAAGTACAAAAGTACTTTTCAAGGTGTGTATATATAAAAGTGAATTTACTTGAATACTAAATAAAATTTAAACAGAAATTTGTGTATGTAATTACCAATTTTGAATGTGCATAAGATATATGGAAAGTATGCAAATTAGTTATCAAAATTATTTATAACTGATGGAAATTTGCAAATAAAATTAGTCATGTTTATTTATGAATTACTCTGTTTTCAGAAAATGGAACACCTCTTGTAATATGGGGCTCTGGTAAGCCTTTGCGTCAGTTCATTTACTCTTATGACCTAGCTAAGTTAATCATTTGGGTTATGCGAGAATATAAAGAAATCAGTCCTATTATACTCTCAGGTTAGTTATATTTTTGATTGCATATTTGGATATAATATTTAATTGCTCTCATATTGATATTTCCCTCATGCTATTAAGAGTTTAGAAATAATTAAAGAACTTGTTCGTAGAAAAATATTGATATTTTTCATGTTCATAGAAAAATATTAAAAGAGAATAGTTGAAAAATATATGAATATATGTGGCAGGTATGACAAATTGATTGTTAACTATACAAATAATATGGTGTGAATAACAAATATTTGAACTTAACATACTGCGGACATCGCAAGTTTATTCGTGTTTCTCATGCCTGCTGTTATGAATGGGTTTCTGCACTGACTTTATATACTACCTGCTTCAATATACGGTATAAAGTCTGTAATCCGGATGTCCATTATCCGGAATGATCTATAATCCGGACCTCAACTTGTTTTTAGTATGCTTTTGCGCATGTGCGTAATACGTTTACGCATGCATGTTTAATGCTATGCATGCGCGTTTAATGTTTACGCATGCACGTTAGCCCAAAAAACGAAGCAACTTCAACCACTACATTGAAAAAATGTTTAATAAGTAACAATAAATATTAAGCGTTTTTTTTGTAAATTTGATACCCTTTAGTTCATATGCTCTTTATTCATAATTACGGTTCATATTTTTAATTGTATAATTTCTGCATGCCATCTTACCAGATTTAAATTGATGATCTATAATCCAGAAAAACCCTTAATCCGGAATCGCCGAAGTCCTGACGTTTCCGGATTACAGACTTTGTACTGTAGTATATTTGTTTGTCCAGGTATTTATATTAGTTGTGAATGCATTAAACTCAGTTCGATTGCCTTCGTGTTTTTTCTTTGGGGAGGAGGGACAAAACTGAAATACTTCCAGAAGTTTTTGATGATAATTTATCAGATGTTCTTAATGAGGATGGAGATAAGGATAACTGTATGAATGGTTGTTTTCATGAGTGTGAGGATGATTCTAGCCACTGATTCTAACACCAACGATGAAGGTGATTTTGTTCTAGGCAATGATTTATTTTGTCATAATGATGACAATTGGTTCAAAATTCATGTTTTACAATGCTTACAAATGTTTAAATGTCATTCTGTTGTGACTGTATTTGATTCTCAGCATGACTGTGTAGTCTTAATTACTAGCCTGATGTTTGGTGATGATTGATATGTTTTACTAAGAATTATGTACTTATGATCAAACTTCAGTGAAATGTAAAACACCCCCTAAAGCAGTCAAGTGGTCTCTATTACACAAATAAATTTTGTAAAATTTTATGAAGTAAAAATTTATTTATAATTCACTGGGGGGTGGGGGTGGAACAGCCTGGTGGGAAAATATACAGCCACATAGAGTAAGTTAGAAAAAAGTATCTGGTTTTTAATGTGTTAAGAAAAGAAAATACACACATGAAATATAAATATAACACAAAAATCTGTGTATAAGACAGACACCTGCTTCAATATGTTGTATTTGTCATCTATTATGGTGTTTACATCAGTTGTCAATATATTAAACACAATTCAGTTGCCTTGATGTCCTAAGGGAGGAATAAAACTGAAATAATTTTAACAAGTTTTTGACGATAATTTATTAGATGTTCTGATGATGATGACAATAATTTATCAGAAGATTTTGATGATAATTTATATGTAAATATAGTACAGTCAAAAGTCGTTAATTCGGACACCCATAATCCAGAATGATCTATAATCCGGACCCTCTATACGCTACAAACTTTCTGCCGCATGCCGCCTTTCACGCTACAGGGTTTAGAGAGCGCGTAGAAGACTCTACGCTGCGAATTGTGTGACGTTTAGCACATGTTATGTTGTAACACGCTAAGCTAAAATTATCTAATTCATTATGTTTGCAGATTGCGTTTTTTCCTATCTCGAATTGGTCCTGGTTATAATTTTTTGCAGGACTGTTGAAGCAATTTTATAAAAGTAAGCTTGAACTTCCGTTTATGTCAAATAGAATTTCCGAATAATTTTACAAGCGAAGTAGAAATGAAATGGGTTTCAAGTACACGCTGCCTCTGCCGGCAGACGGGGCGGCAAAACGCATTATTAGATTATGATAGATTAGAAAGATTATGTCAATAGATTTTTCGATATATATTTACAATATGTAATTTGTACTACAGCGAAAGTATGTTTGAAATCCGAAATTTGTTTCAATTTCACAGCGGGATTGGAAGTTGATCTCTAGCACTATCTTATCTTCAGGGCAGATATTTTATTTATTTGGTTTATAATTCCGTACTAGTGTAGTATTTTTCGATGTACTCCGTCTTTGATATGATTTAATCAAGTTCCTCGTCAGCAGAATTTCCGATGCTGGAACTTCCAAAGGATCTACAAAAAGAAAGTATGTTTCGATGTCCAACAAACAAAAAAGTGGAATTGCCCAAAAATGATAAAACGGAGAATGTGACAGAGAGGTTAGTGAAAACGAAAAAATTTCGATTACAAAGTCGGTATTCTCAGCACAGCATTAATGGGACTGACAGCGGAACTTGTAACTGAACAGAAATTATGTCGTTTATAGATGAAAAGAAAGTATTATCACATAAAAAAGCAACTTAAACAACTTACATTGAAAGAAATGTTTAATAAAGTAAACAAATAATATTAGCTTTTTTTTTTTTTGTAAATTTGATACTCTTTAGAAATTGTTCTTTATTTCATAAATTACGGTTTCATATTTTTATTTAGAATTTCTGCATGCCAATTACGAGATTTAAACTGATATCATAATCCGGAAAAATCGATAATCCGGAATCGCCGAGTCCCGACGAGTCCGGATTAACGACTTTGACTGTATATGTATGCAAAGCAAAAAAATATATGTAAAGCATAATCCATAAAAGTCATTATGTGGCCTTGTATTTTCTCAACCATTGGTTGTAGACATATACCTTCAGTTACAAAATTATTTAAAGAAGGGAATACATTACTTAATATTTTTAAACTTTAAAAATAAACTTTGTAAAAGTTACAAAATCAGACTTTTTATATGGTTCATCAATCCATACAGTTGTATTTAGTTAAAGTGTATACACATTTTAAGAAATAAAGTACAAAAAATTGGACTTCTATATTACATATTATTGACTAAGATATTTAATTTGATAAAGTTTAAGATTATATTTTCTAAAAGTTCTGGTTTATTTTCAGGTTTGTGAAAGTACACAATTGGAATATTTAAATTTGTATACACTTAATTAAGACACAATAACACGCCGAATAAATACTAATTCAGAAGTCAAGCAACAAAAATCAGCGTTATATTTACAAAATTTTCACAGGACTAGTTTCGATGGTTTTACCGAACCACCATCTTCAGCTGCAAAACCGAAAAAAAAAAAAAAAAAAAAAAAAAAAAAAAAAAAAAAAAAAATTGTAAAAATTGTAAAAATTTGTAAATATAATGCTGATTTTTGTTGTTTGACTTCTGAATTTGTATACACTTGTAGGGTTTCCTTTAGTTAACTAACCTTTTATTCAAATTTTTGTTATCTTTCCTGAACTCCTCAACTTCCCCTCACATTTCCTTGCCAGGATGTAAATTTAAAGTTAAGTGATGTGAGTATTTAAACGGGTGAAACTTGGAGTTTATTCAGCGCATGTTTACGCTAACCAGTGCATGTTTCGTTGCTGATCCTGCTGTTACGCTAATATGTCCCTGAGCCATTTCGAATAATTGTAACGCCTGTTAGGTTTGTTGAGTCAACCTAAGTTAGCGTAACTTAATGTGCTAATCCAACACTATTCTCTTTAGACTTGAATTGATTTATGTTATAACGTTTAAGTACCACCGCAAGTTGTAGGTGTTATTGTAAAGCATGAAGTATGTGCCTTTCCATTATTAATTGGAAATAATTTAATATGGTATGTAAATCACCCTTCTTCTGTGCTGGTATTTACTTCATACCTGTAAGAGAATTTGCCAGGTTCATTTGTAGGATCTGGATTATTTTATGTGGAAAAGAAAAGATCTTATGCACTTAAAAATGAAATTTCAGTTTGGCGGGGGAGGGACTTCTGATGTTAAATTTAGTGATAAATATTGGCATTGAAACAGGAAAAGTTTTGACCAATGGAAAGTTTATCAGAGAGGAAATCTTATTCAGAGGACTTTATAGGATCTGTGTCCAAGAAAAGGGTAGCAGGCTTTGAATATTGGCACATGACTATCTTGTAACATTATTTGCCTAAACTTAAAATTAAAAAAAATTTGTAGTTCAGTGAATTTTCATTCCTATTATATTATGATCATGAAGTTATAAAATGACATATGAATATTAATAGCAGGAATATTAATGTATTTTTAGGATTTGAAAACTTGAATTGTGTGAAATTGTTATTAGTAAGCTAAATGTCAAATAATAAATTGAAAGAATGTTAAGTACTAATAATTTGTAAAGGACTCTCTCACTGAATGACATTAAATGGGGAGGTGGGGTGAGCTAACCTCAAATTATCGTAATTTATTCTGTAACTGATTTTTTGGTGCTGAGAAATCTAAAAAATATCCCGAAGCTTGGAATTAAATAATAGCCTGGTCAATTTTGAGCATTGGGAGTCAAAATCTTTTACTTTTGTTTCTTAGAATGAGAAGAACTTTTAATACTGTAAGTATGTAGCCTGTGACGCATAAAAATTTCATTTTGGTGTTTTACAAAATTTATTTTTTAAATTTAAAAGGCCATGGTATGAATATTTGCATCACTAAATCATTTTTCGAAGTGGAAGACTGTGTCTACAAGCAATAGTTTCAAAAATAAAGACTGTGTAAAGGCTTTTATGGACCTTCCTGTGTTATGCAAGTGGTAAAATGCCAATTATAAATTATAATAAAAGACTCTTCCTTAATATTCATCTGTTTTCTGAATATTACATTCTGATTCAGTGAACATCATTGTAGTATTATTTTAGGGAATTTTTTTTTCTATAAAATTGGCTTGTGTTGAAGAAAATTATCTTTTGATTATACTTATCATTTAAAATAATTGATATGCAACAATGTACTGTTTTTTGTTTGTTAAATATTAGTATACACAGCTATTCAGAATTGTTGCTATTCAGAATTTTAACTGAACTGTCCTAAATTAAGAAAATCTTTTTTAAATTAAAATATATGCTCTTGTTCCTCCATAAGCAATTATATATTTTGGATATCTGGGCTGATTTTAACGGGTTTTTTTTTTTTTTTTTATTAAGTTGATGAAGAACAAGAGGTTAGCATAAAAGATGCAGCTCTTACAATAGCAGAGGCATTTGATTTCAAAGGAGAAGTAATTGTATCCTTTTAAAGCCAAATAATTGGTCATTCATGCCAGTAGAGCTGTGCTTATTTTTTCATTTCACGCAAAAAGGTAAATGTGAACCCTTATATATAATCAAATTAGCTATATATGTATTAAACAAAAATAATATAATTTTATATAGCATAACTATTCCATAATTCTGAAAGTATTTTTTAATTGTAGCTTTATGAATTCAGAAAAATAATGCATCTAATTATTTATAATTTTCAAATGAAAATGTTAAAAAATTCATTTTATTGAAAATTCTTTGATAAGCAGGGAATAACACTGAAATACTATTAAATACATTGAATTAATTTTTAAATTTTCTTATAATTTAATTTTTATAGCTTTATTTAATAAAGCAAAATTGCTAATGATGTTTTCACTTAATTCACATTCTATAGAAAAAGCAGCTGTGTTTGAATTTTTTAAAAAAAATTTAGGCAAGGTTTTACATATTGATGTCTAGGGCCCTGGGCACAAATGTTTTTCGGGGTCTCCGAACCTCATTTTCTTTAATGTTGTAAGAAAGAAAAAGAGGTTATGAGGAGTTCTAGGATGATTTTGTAACCCTATGCTCGGTATTGTAGGTTTAGGCAGTAATCTGACTTTCTTAATGTGCACCTGTAGAGATGTGATAATGGTAAACATCTACACACATTTGCAAGAATACATAGATGTAAACAGAGGCCATTTGCCTGATGCAGTTTTTTATGAAACAAGCTTGTAATATGAAGGTAATATCTTACTCATATGGAAATTCTTAGAAAGTAGAGCAAATGATGTGATCAGGAAAAAAAGTATCAAGGCAAATCGAAATATTTTCTAGAAAAGTCAGGGAAGTCAACAAAGGGCCAAACTTGTTTTAGCTTCCTTTCCGTTTAGCTCACTATATCTAATTTAACTGATATGTTAACAGCCGTAGACCTGTAAAAAATATGATAGAAGAGTGTAATTTTTAAAATTATGTAACATCAGTCAACTGTGATTGACACAGCTTGAATGAAAAGTATGCTGTCAGTCAACAGTGACTGATATGTCCCAAATGAAAATGATACTGTCAGTCACCGATGACTGATGCAGTCTAAATGGAAAGTACAACATTAGTCATCTGTGAATGATGCGTTTGAACGGAATCTATAGTGTCAGTCCCTGATGATTTATATCGTCATGTTAAAAAATATATAGAGATCAGTTTTCTCAAATAATAAAAGATCACATTTTAATAAAATAAAGATTATAAAGAAGGTAACAAAAAGTAAATGAAATGTTACTGCAGTATTTGTATTTCTTGCACAAAGTTTACTACCTCATTTTTTATACAATTTACCAACTCGTAACTCTTTTCAATTTGCTAGTTAGCTATTCTTTCTTCTCTTCAAAAATGCAACTGTTCTTTTAACCCTTTCTTTTGAAGAAGAGAGTGTTAAAATAAAACCCCCTCTGAGAATTCTTCCCCTTAAATGTCATTCAATGATATAGTTTTGCTGTTTATTGGAACCTTTAATTTATAATTTTATAATATATACTATGCCGGAATTTTCGTACAAATGACTTATACATTTTCAGAGTTTAAAATGTGTTAATATTCACATGAAGTTTTATTACTTTAGAATCATAATCTAGTTATCATATTTTTCATTTTTAATTAATTCAAATAATATTATGAGTTGGCTACATGGCGAGTAAATCATATTTTCAGTGGATGATGCAAAATTCCGTTTCGAGAGTAATAGCCCATTCAGGCTAATGCTCTTTTGGGCTAAAAAAAAAGAAAGGAAGAATTGCTCTTTTTAGGAAAGATAATTGTTTATATTAATCAATGATTGTCATCATAACTATGGCACCCATGATTTAAACAAAAAGATTATTAATAAATTACCAACTGTCTCTAAACAGGTTTGAGTTCTAATACTAGTTAGTGGTGTTTTCTTATCTGGCCATTTTTGCATATTTGGATGTAGGGTTAGATTAAGGTACTTGATTAAGGCAAAGCATGTGAAGGCTATCTGTATAAAGGAAGGGATAGAACACTTTTTAAGGAAAACTGGCTCGTATTCACTTCTCATATGGAGGAAAGCCACAAAAACATCCATGCATCTGGTTTGTTCCCTGGAATTTGAATACAAGTTGAACTAGCAGCATTCAGTGATCTTGCCGCCAGTGGGCCCAAATATAAGGTAAAATACCTTGTATTCTGTAGTATGATTTTTATCTTGTTGAAAGAATGTTACCGTGTCATTACCTCAGTCCTTGGTAAGTCAGAAATTAATATTTTTTTTTTGAAAAAATAATAAGAGAATAGAACTGTATTACTGTGGCATTTATGTTTAAGTTTTAGTAGCAAAATATCAATTTAATTCTATCCTCTCTGGCTCTTTTTGCCAAAAAATTCACTAATTCCAGAATTTGTGTAGATTTTGAGTGGCAGGTAATTTTACTTTAAAGTATGGAATATTACAAATAGGATTATGAGAGTTTTGGCTTCCTTCCACTGTTGTTTTGATAAAAGAGAAAGCTATTCTTACTGGAGTCACTTAAGGGTGATGTTAGATCCTGCTTGGTGAGTGTGTATGCAAAATTTGTGATTTATGTAATTTAGTAGTTTCAGCATAGGTTTGAATTGTTGAATTTATATCCTTTGTAAAAAGAAGTTTGGTGTTGAAACTAGGTCCTAGTTTGCTGGTAATTTTATGTTACACTGCAGAAAATCTGAGGTATGGACTTAATGATATGACTTCGGATTTCGATGATTCTGGATATTAGATCATCGGTTTGAATCCAGTAAGATGACATGTAGAAATTATAAAATTAAAAATTTGAAATAATAGTTTATGAAATAATGCAGGATTTATAAAAGAGATCAAAATTTACAAAAAAGAAAAAGAGTTTAGTTTCCATTTGTTTGCTTTATTAATCATTTCTCTCAGTGTAAGTTGTTTAAGTTGCTTTATATTTTGGGCTAATACTTTTTTAATTCTACAGATAGGCATAATTTCTTGTGTAGTTATGAAGTTCCATTGTTTAAGTTCCTATGATTGTTGTGTTGAGATGTATCATCAAATGAAATTTGTCTATTCTCAGCAGCTTCTCTGTCACTTTCCTTCACTATCATTAGCAATATTTTTTGGCTTTAAAACTATATGGCATATTTCACCATCTGTTAGTTGATTGATGACTGGGACATTGTCATTGCAGAGGAAAATCTTTTTTTTATATGATCTTCATTTATTACTACTTCTTTACAAATTCTATTAATTGGAAAATTTTACTTTTTGTTTGCAAAATCTGCCTTCAAATTCGTGGTCCACCAGCTGCCAAGAGGTAAAGACGCTGAATTCTGGTAGTTCGGTCCGAGGTCGAATCCCGTGAACAGGCTGGCTGCATGGGCGTTTTCATGGTTTTCCCCATGTGTAACATGTATGCGAGCCAGTTTTTCTTGCCATAATTAAATAATCCAATCCATCCTTCAAATTCATAGCTATCATCATAAAACTTACCCAAGCATCTGCTATTGGCGATATATCATAAGACCAACTAAAGACATGTTGTTCCATTAAATTTTTATCTGGCTTTCTATCGCTTGCTTAATGAAACTCAGCTTGAATTATATTAGTTATTTATATAACACCTGTTTTCCACATGTGTTTAAGGATTACCAAGTCTTGAGTAAATAAATTTCATTATATACTTTTGGATTATCCAGAGCTGAAGCTAGACATTTTGCAATCTCTACAGGCCCTAAATTCTGCTGCCAAGCACTTCACTAAATTCTAAAAATTTTGCTGTTTGCAGTTTTTGCATCTGAGTGCCTTTCCGAAATTCTAAAGATTTTGCTTTGCCTTAATTTTGTTCCTTGGTGCTTCAGTAACTTCTAAAATTTTTGCCTTCCCTGAATTCTGCTGCACAGTGTGGCCCCACCAGTTCTGGACTTATCTGAATAACAAATCAGCTGTTTGCAATTCAGACAGCACTAAATGTAATCTTTCAGCTTTTAAGTATGATTTACAAAATCAATTTTTTGAATATGGAAAGAAATTTTTGTTAAATTTCTCCTTGTCAACATGCTCAACACTTTGCAGTGCAGTAGGCTGGAGTCTGTAATCATCGCTAAGTGTAATGTTGACATAAAGGTTACCATGCTGTTTGGTATTCAATTACCACTATTTAAAAACAAGTGTTTAGACATTGATGCATGAGTAATCTTTTAAGCTGGTGTTAATTTTGCAGTGATGAAAGAAAAAATAGTATGTAATGATTTGCTATCATAATGCTAATATGCATGCGTAAAGCATACAAAAAAAAAAAAAAAAAAAAAAAAAAAAAAAAAAAAAAAAAAGTGGTAGTCTGGAGGCCCAGATTTTAGATTATTCAGATTATTCCAAATATTGAATGTCTGGATTTTGGACTTTGTATTATAAATTTTAATCACTTACTACTTGTTAGGTAGAATAAATTGAATGTGTTCTAATTCTGTGTCTGTTTGTTTGGTGGTTAGCTATTCTGGTGGTGATAATTCTACTCAGAAGAAATATGACATCTTGGTTTTATGTTAAGTGATATCACAAAGTTACTTGGAACCTGCTGCATGTGTTACAGTATAATGATATCATGTACCCTTCATTAAGTTCTTCATGTGATAAGCAAGTTAGGATTGCCCACCATTTCGTGATTGTGATGCGTTTTGATAATTTATTAATGATCTTATTGTCTCTTAAATAACAGAGGCCAGAATAATAAAGAAGTACCATTTGTTCATTAAATTCCATTTAGTTCAAAATGTTTTCATTATATGTGCTTAAATATATTTGTAAATGGCTCTTCAGTGTTGTATGTATTATAGTATAATGATAACATGTACCCCTCATTAAGATCTTCATATGATGAACAGGTTAGGATTGTCCACCATTTGTGATATGTTTTGGTAATTTATTAATCATCTTATTGCCGTGTAAATAACCGAAAGCCAGAATAATAAGGAAGTACCCTTTCTTCATTAAATTCCATTTAGTTCAAAATGTTTTCATTATAGGTGCTTATTTGTAATTCCTCTTCACTATTCATTCAGATCAATATACATTGTACATATACATTATAATTGTGCAAGCCATTGCTTTTAACTATTAAAATATCGGCTAATCTCTTAGCATTAACTTCCATTTGTATGGGGGGAAAGGAGTGCCCCTTGACTTCTTGCATTAATAAGCGTCTACTGTATTTAAACATTGTAAATATGTTCAGCTAATATTTTGAGTAATATTTTAATTTCTTTTGCAATAAAAACTGCATTGTAAGTCTGATCTAAGCAATTTTAATTAGTATTGTTACATTGAAGCAGTTGCCTACAGCAGGATTTTGCACCAATTAATAGATAAGAGTGACATCACAATGCACTCAGAATATCTTTGCTTTCATTTGATGTAATTGCAAATAAACAGTGGTGATGCAGTGTGAAAACTAAGACAAGAGAATATGTATTCATAGAGGCATGAGGTTTGAGGATTACATTTATAACTGCACTGTAGAATCACATTTATGATTGCCCTCTGGTTCATTTACAGCTGGACATGGGCAACAAAACTAAAGCTTGGAAAAATTATCTGCGAGAAGTTTGTACTCATAGCGTTCAAAATGTAGCTTGTAATAAAATTGAAAGGCTCAACACAATAGTGGAAATGAATAGAAGCCTTTTTATGAAGCAGTAAAATAAATGGTTTAAATACGTTCACAGCAGTGGCTGATTGACAGGTTGTGCAGAAACTAATAAATATGTTATTGTAAGAGTACCAGGTAGGCATGTGGCTCAGAATTCTATTGGAACGATTTGGGCAAATTTGGCAGGATCTCCACTTGCTTTCACAGTGGATAAGATGATGCATAAGTGCCATGTTGCCTTTTAATTCTTTGTTAAAAAATATATATTTTTATACTTTGATCAGCTGTAGCTTATTTAGCATTTATTAGATAAAATTATTAAGTGTTAATTTTTAAAAAAAAAAATACTGGGTTTGAAAAATTTGCAGAAAAATGTTTATGCTTGTGATTTGTTAGCATTATCAGTATATTCAGTTTGGCTCTTGTAAAAATTATAAATTTATTCATAAAAGTTTTAGTAATTAGGTACAATGTATTGCAAAATTAGGAATGCATAAATGTTGCATGATTAACACAAAAATCTCATTGAGGAACATCGCATTTTCACTTAAATTTCATTCCTGTTTTCTGCTGTTTCACTAAAGTGTGTTTCTCCTAGATCTGAATATTAGGATTATATTTTGGTATATATTCTGTATTTTCTAACTGTTAACTTAAAATTCCAGCATTAACTTGATAAAAGCTAATTTGATCAATTTAGATATTTCAGTTTATTTTATCATAATAAGTGAGTTGTCAATATTTATGAATTTGGACCAAGCATTATTTACTTACATTAAGAATCAGTTTGATACCACAAAATCTGATGGCCAATATAAGAAAACTGCAAGCAATGAAAAGCTTCGAAAGTACAAACCAGATTTTGTATTCACACCTTTTAAAGAAGGTAAGTATTTTTTGCATTCATACTTTGAGTAAATGTATTAAGAAAATACTGATAACTAATTAATGTAATATTTTTAATTCTTGGTCTATATTATTTCTGTAAAGGCAAATCAGAATTGCTGTAATATCACCGATTTTAAGCAGCTTGTACTGAAAGAGACTGAAAATCCATAAAATTAGGGATCTGACATTGTGCAGATTTTAGCTCTTAATTTATTTATATTTAAAAAAAAGTTAAAATGAAAATAAATTTTTAAAAACACATGAAAAGGATTTCCTTTTTAACATTTTATAAAGACATATTAAGTATATCATAATATTATACCGAAAATAAGTAAATGAATGAATAAATAAAAATCGTATACAAATTATTTTTCAGTTTCTTAGATTTCTGTTTACAATAGTTGTTTTAAAACTTTATGATTTTCTAATCTGAGTCTTCTTCCCCTCAAATTGCACAAAATATTTATTTCCTGATCCAGTCACATGATTTCATTTTTATTATTCCCAGGGAAATCATAAATTTATTTAAGACTTGCCAATTTGATATGGCAAAGTATTTTAATTCTTCTCTCAATGAATGTTAAAAATTCTGGTACTTTTATAGTAAAGCAACAGCAATGTCACCTAAAGTTAATGTTCACAATAAACACCACTTGAGAAAGTAATGAAATTTCAGCAGTACATTTGTTTAGGTAATATTTTTAATTGATTAAAATTTCAAAATCACAGATTAATGCAAGTGCAAGAAGAACCATTTCAAGTGTGAAATGCTAGTACATTAATAGCAGGTGTAACTGCCAGAATTTTGAATACAAACGTGCATGCATTGTGCCATACAGGTTCTGGATGTCAGTTTGTGGGATAGAGTTCCGTGCCTGTTGCACTTGGTTGGTCAAAACAGGAATGGTTAATGCTGGAGTTGTCGTCCACTGATGTCCCATATGTGTTCGATCGGAGAACGATCTGACAGGACAAGGCCACATGTTAACACTTTGTAGAGCATGTTGGGTTACAGCAGTGTATGGTGTTGGAAATAACTCCTTCATGACAATAGTTAAGCAGTTTTGTAGAAATAATAATTTAGAATTTAAAACATTATTAATTTTAGACAGTATCCAGAATGCCCAAAATCTCTGCAGACCAAACAGCAATAGCTACATTTAAACAATATTATATGAGGACAATAGTGACTAAAGCCATCAAGGCAACTGACAGAGAAGATGGCCAACATTAACAGATTTTTTTTAAAGGCTATAATATATGGAATGCAATAAGCAATATTGGAGACTCATGAGCTGAAATTAAAAAAAAAAATTAACAGTGAAAGGTTCCTAGAAATAATTATGGCCACAGATAATGAGAAATTTTATAAATTTTGCAGAAACACCAAAAGCTATAACAGATGAAATAATCTAATGAATGAACTAAACTTAAATGTCAAAAATGAAGATGCTAATTAGATAAATGAATATTACTCAGCACCTCTGTCGTATTAAATACATGATTGAGCAACAATGAAACACAAAATGACAGTAAGGAAGTAGAAACTGATAAAAACGTCCAGACCTTGACAGTTAAAAATATGAATGCAGCCTTCATGCATGTTGATAAATTTTTGACTACCATGGAAGAATGTGTCACAATGGATGACATATACCTAAAATACGTAGGATGATTAGGAAAGACACAGCTTGTTCAAGAAATCTTTATCAAGGGGGGGTGTATTCAATTAACTCTTGACAAATTTGTAAAGCAAATACCAGAAAGCACTTAAATGCCTCATTAACTTCATTATGAGTACATATTGATAAATATTTTAAAATACAGTTTTGTGTACATATTTTTTTTTTACATCTTTTAACTTTTGAACAATTCAACATTCACACACACTCTTAGGAAGCAATTATGGGTGAAAGTAGAGGACCGCCTGTGTTAGGTTTTTCAAAGCAGAAAACGTAAAAAGTAAGCTGTGCACTCATCGAGATTTGAATTGCAAATCTTGCATTAGCTAATTGAATGTGCTAATCATTTATATCAGAAAAGCATCCATTTAGGAATGTGATAATGCCATATTAAATTTATGTGTACTATTCATAATCGTTACTTGAAAGGTTTGACAATAGCCATTGTTTCATTCAGTAAGTTTTGACAAGATTATAGATGTTTCATTTTGGATTGGATATAAAAAAAACCGAAAATTTGTTTTTTTAATTCAATATAGCAGGCCTTTACTGTATTATATAGAAATATTAATTATGCTTGTATAGAATGAAATAAAATTTTCTGTTTTCTAACTTTTCAGCTGTAAAGAATACAGTGGATTGGTTTATTAGCAATTACGAGACAGCAAGAAAATGACTTCTACACATTTCTAAAAGATATGTTTTGGAAATTCTGCACTAATTTCAATGTGATCCTAATATGTAAAACCCACAATTCCTGTGCAGTTTATTCTGTATTTTTGCAAACTTGAATTTATCTTATTTGGTTTGTATTGTTATATTTTTTGTTGTTCATGGTGTTTTTTACCTTTTTTCTGTGTTATAAAATGTTTGGATAAACAAACTTATGATGATTGTGAAACATTATTTGAATGGGTTATTTGGATCATGATAAGATTAAAAATATGGATAAATAACCATGTATTTGTAATAAAAAAACTGAATTTTAAAATGTCAAAATTATCAAGATGGCACATTTGTCAGAATAAAGAATCTCAAGCCAATTTTGGAATCTCATAAATATCGAAACTGCTTACTTTATATCCAAATAAAACTTCTTCACTTTCAAACTGTCAGCAGGCAAAATGTTTTTGCAGATATGTTTGTGCCATATTGCAATCTGACATCTCATTTTAAGGTATTCAAGCCATTTCTTTGCTTTTTAGATTCTTAATATAAAGTACATGTATTAATTGATTATATGCATTGCTTTAAATTGTTATTGTATCTAATGTTGAAAACATTGTGTTTTTTAGCATATGTTATTGCATTACTTGTTGAAATTTTGTAATTTAATTTCAGTTTAGCTAGGCTATACTAGCAAATCTTGAGATTTTTAATTTCTAAAGCTCATTCAATTATTTTAATATTTAATAAGGCAAATTATATACTGCATGCATTCGAGATGTTATATCTGAGAACTTTTAAAAATTTCATATATGCTCTTAAAAATACATATAAGAATGATAGATATTTTAAAAATCTATAGTGTTATTCAATAGTTTGTTTAAAAAAAATTGCATGTTTATTCTCTTAACCCCCTTGTTCCAATTATTCAGAATATCGTAAAGTATTATTATTTTCTTTAATTTGGAGCAATTAATTTTGGAACTGCATGATTAAAAAATCTTTTCAAATCTATGTCCTTGATATGAAGTTTGTGATAATTTATGGTTGAAAAAAATTCGTTTTTATGGCTGTGATACGAAGGCATAATATTAGTTTTATATGTATTTAATGAAATTAAATATCAGTATTCTATGGTTAATATATTTCAACAGAATTTTTCTCAATAAATTGGAAAATAATCGTTTTATTGCCAAGTTTTTTAATAAAATTTAAAGAATTACATGAAACATATCCTATATCAAAATATTTTCTTTCTTGCATCAAAATTGTACCTTTATGCTTAAATCTATATACTCTTTAATTGAATCTATATCTCATGTACATTATCAGTTCTTTTAGTTTAGCATACTTATTTTTGAATTTTAATAATTGGAAGACTGGTTTGCCTTTTTTCAAACCTAGCATTATACCCTTATATCCTTAATTAAAACAATCTTTTTCAAATACAAATTTTTTTCCTGTGAAGATTTATTGAAACTGTAATGGAAATGGTCACGACTTCAAGGGGTAGTAAAACAGGACTAAAGTAACAATTTTCATGGTGCAGTGTGAATGTGGAAATATAGTAAGAAAATGAAAAGTTTGTTTTTTAATCACTAATAATTAAATAATGCCTAATATTTGCACAAACTGTTCGGATGAAACAGACTATCGAAAGAACAGACTTTCCTTACTTTAAAGCAAGGGAGTAAATGCTTTCATTTATTATAATTTTTATATAATATTAATTATATAAAAACTGAAATTCTCATTAATTTACTTCAAAAATTTCTCTTCCTGAAAATTTTGTTTCATGACTTAAAACGATATAATTTCAGAACTTTGGCTCTAAGAAAATTTAGTTATGGCTCTAAAAACTTCCTAAATCTTAAAATGCAACTCCTACTATTAGGAAGTTTGCCTACTCCTGTCAAATATGATAGAAAAAAAAATTTTATGAGCAGAATGTTCATAAAAAATCATAACAGTAATCGATAACTGATACAACAAAGTTTGATCATTACAGAATATTTTCTACAATATTTCTTCGCAAAAAATTTTTTAATAACACGTTTGTTAGCGTAAGATATTTGCTTGTCATTTGTAGAAAAATAAAGTTTTATTTTTACAAATATAATAATATATTTTATTCTTCATTTTGCAATACCATAAAATTTAAACATTAAGAAAATAATAAACTGCTGTTGAGTGGCTCCTGTAAAGAAAAGTTTCCATATTAAGAATATTTCTCATACAGTCAAATCCCGAAAATCCGCCGACCTGAAATCCGCGTTGCTTCTCAAAATATAAACATTGAGTTTATAGGTTCCGGAAACCACAACATGGAGTACAAAATATCGAAAAAAAAAATACTTAACCGAATTATGACATCATAATTACCGAATAATAACGAGTCATAATGAAAATAGCAAATTATTGACATTATGATAAAGTAAAAGTGTTTTTTTCCTGCAATCTGCATCGAGGTAAAGAAACTGACGATTCACTCTTCTTTCAAATTCATGATTCATGTTGTTGTACTTTCTGAACTTTGTTATTTCACGGGATTGTTTAGTGCTACCGTTTTTTTTTTTATCCGGATATTTTGTGGATCAATTTAGAATATTTTAAATTTCAGCGCTTGTTAATACAATGACAGATAAGAAACGCACTCATGATTTTACTGTTTGCAACGTTGAAAAACGTAAACACGTTGCATTGACGGTAATGCAAAAAGTGGAAATTTTGAAAAAGATTGAGGCAGGTGCTACTCCTCTCTTTATAGCAGAATCATATGGAATAGCGACATGAACTGTGTATGATATACAGAAAAATAAAGAAAAACTGTTGAAATTTTACAGCAACAGTGATTCTAACACCGGAATCTGTAACCGGAAAACTTTGCATGAGGCGAAATCGGCAAACCTCGATGCTGTCTTGTACGAGTGGTTCCGGCAGCGGCGTAGTGATGGAGTACCAATTTCAGGACCGTTCCTTAGAGAAAAGGCGAAGCAGATTCATGCTGATTTAAAAATAGAGGAGCCGTGCAATTTCAGCAGCGGTTGGCTGAACAGATTTAAACAGAGACACGGTATACATTATATGAAAGCATGTGGGGAAAATCTTTCAGCAGATAAAGATGCTGCAGAGGTGTTTATTGATAAGTTTTCTGTGTTAGGGGCAGAAGAAAATCTTAGCCCAGAACAGGTTTTTAATATGGACGAGACTGGACTTTTTTGGCGATGTTTGCCAAGAAAGACATTTGTGACAAGCGAAGAAAGTGCACCGTCAGGGGTGAAAGAACCGAAAGAAAGAGTTACCATTTTAGTATGCAGCAATGCAGCTGGAACTTACAAATGTAAACCAGTGGTAGTGGATAAGAGCACCATCCCAGAGCTCTGAAAGGAGTAAAATCCTTACCTGTGATTTACAGGAGTAATAAAAATTCCTGGTTCACAAAACAACTTTGACTGAATGGTTCATGGAGCATTTCATTAAAGAGGCTAGAAGGCATTGTAACAGTGTGGGGTTACCATCAAATTGCAAGATTTTACTAATGTTAGACAACTGCTGTGCACATCCAGATGCAAGTATTTTAACACATGATAATGTCATGGCCCTTTTTTTTTGCCCCCAAATACTACATCATTGATCCAACCAATGGACCAGGGCATAATACACAGTATTAAATGCCACTATAAATCAGAGTTTCTGAAAAAAATTCTTTCAGGTGACCCTTCTATTCCACTTTGTGATTATAAAAAAAAAAAAAAAAAAAAAAAAAAAAAAAAAAATTCACCATCAAAGACTGCATTTATTTATTAGCTGAATCATGGAATTCTGTTTCCCAAACGACATTAGTAAATGCCTGGCATAATGTATGGCCATCTTCTCTGTTTATTGAAACTGAGAGTGATGACAGTGATTTTTCTGGTTTTAGGGTCAGTGCAGCAAGGATTAAAGCAAGAGAATTGCTTTTATTTTCAAAAGAAAAAATAAATGCGGAGGCTTTGCAAGAAGAAGATATTGTTGAATGGATGATGTGCTCAGATGAGTCAACACTGGCATATCAGATGACTGATGATTAAATCATTGGCTCTATTTTGAACTCGCCAGAGCAAGAAGACAATTCTGACACCGACACAGATAGTGAATTTGATAGAAATGAGAAAATATCTTTTAATGAGTGTCTGGAACTTGGTGAAAAATACCTAAAATGTTTAGAACAACAAAGCTGTGTCACAGAGCAAGAGATTATGACTCTATATAATTTACAAAAAAAAAAAAAAAAAAAAACTCTGGAGCACCCTAAAGTTTTAAAACAAACTTCCATCAGAAAAATGTTTGGAACATGTAGGAAAAAATGAAATTTTTATGCTTTATTAATATCCCTTATTTTTATATCTATTGAATACATCCCTAATGCTTTTAAATATCCCTGTAAGCACTAATGTAAATGAATGCTAATACATATAATCAATTTATATATGTAATAATTAATGTACATAATAAATTATTGTAGTATAATAATATAATTTTGCACTTTTAGTCTGAATATTATGATTTATCTTTTCTGTTCTGAAATCCACACAACCTTTGGTCTAAAGCTGTGTGGATTTCTGGAATTCTACTGTAATACATTATTCAAGATATATGGGTATTGTTTCTATGAAAATTAGCTTCATTTTTCATCGTGCAATATCATAAAATGAAAAATATAAATATGTAAAGAGATTGTTATATATAAAACGTTATATAAAAAGATTTTAGCAGATTACACGAATAGCTTGTCATGTAGCTTATTTGTTTGCCAAACATTTTTTACAATTTGCTGATGGCTATCCAAACTTCCAGATGCTGGCAATTGCTTCAAGAATTATGTGAAACTTATAGAAGCCCTCTTTTTTTTTATTTAATTTGCTTTATTCTCTTTGGTGCAATGGATATTTGCCAAAATGTATAAACAAAATAAAAATGGAAAATAGATAAAATAATAAAATGAATAAATAAATAACATAAAAAATAATTGAAAAAATATGGTAAAATCTGAATACGTTGAAATCCGTTTCTCGCAGGAAATCCTTGTTTCTATGTTTTTTTTTAATATATATATATATATACATACAGTATTTCACTACAGCTAAAGGAATTGGAACAAGGCTAGGACTCTGGTTTATGCATCTGTTATTCCTGAATGCGTGTGTGTTTGAAATTTTATGAAATCACTGGAATACTTTGTAGACATTTCCTAATGATGTTTGTGCCATGAAAATTCTTTTTTTTGGGGGGGAGGACTATAAGTTCCTTTACCATCATTTATCCAGACCAGTCCTGAACCCCAATGGAAGTTATTTCTTCCTAAGGGTGCCCCATTGAACCGAGCACTTAAGATTGCTAAATACTGGTAATTTAAATTCTCGCAAACGGATTGGCTGCAGGGCTGCTTTTTGTACTTTCTGTCATGTGGAATGCGAATGCGAGTCAGTTTCGCTTAGAAAGTCCTCAATGCATTTCTCTTCTTAGGCAGATGGCCCTTTTACATTTTGGCACATTCAAATAGCCTAAACAATGGAGTGCAAATTCACAAATTTCACGACAGCTAAACGAGTTGGGAACTTAAATTTATTCGCCCGTAAAAAATATATATGCAAAAATAATTTGAAATAATCATTTATCATGCCTCAAGATATTTCAGAATTTGATTAGATGTATAATGATCGTTGGGCCAACACACATCGTAAATTGTCCATATTATATGCAAGAGTTGATGAACTGTATTTTTTAATGCTTTCATTTTATGATATTGTAGGATGAAAAATTAAAAGTTTTTAAATTAAAAGTTAAAAAAAGTTAAAAGCTAATTTTCATAGACATAATACTCATATATCTTGAATAATTTATAATAAGAAATATTCTTTAAATGGAAACTTTTCTTTATAGGAGCTGCTGAACATCAATTTATTATTTTTTAATGTTTAAATTTTATAATATTGCAAAATGAAGAATAAAATATATTATTATATTGTAAGAATAAGACTTTATTTTTCTACAAATGACAAGCAAATATCTTACGCTAACAAACGTGTTATTAAAAACTTTTTAGTGAAGAAATATTCTAGAAAATATTCTGTAATGACGAAATTTTATTCTATCAGTTATCAATTACTGTTATTATTTTTCAGAGAATATTCTTCTCAAAATTTGATT